GAGTGAGATTTGCTTGATAGAGAGACAGAGAAAGAGTGAGAGAGAGAGAGAGAGAGAGAGAGAGAGAGAGAGAGAGAGAGAGAGAGAGAGACAGAGACAGAGAGAGAGAGACAGACAGACAGACAGAGACAGAGACAGAGACAGAGAGAGAGACAGAGACAGAGAGAGAGAGACAGAGACAGAGAGAGACAGAGAGAGACAGAGAGAGAACCTGTGTGTATGTGTGTGTATGGGGGGGGGGCAACAGCAAACGCACCGGTCGCCAACGAGGTCGTAGAGTTCCCGTCGCAAGCCCGTTGGCTTTGCGGCCTGTCGCATCTCGCGTTCCTCAACGGCTTCAGCGGCGTTGCGCGCCTCCCGCTGCCGTTCAGCAGAGGTGTGTGTGTGTGTGTGCGTGCGTGTGTGTGTGTGTGTGTGTGTGAGCGATACAGGAGCAGACGACACACGCACACACACACACACATACACACACACACACAACAACACACATGCTGCCCACCTTGTTTTGGAGGATGGTTTGAAGGGTACGGGCCGGGCGTGCGGTCGCTTGGCCCGCAACCATCTCCAATGCATCAGCCATGGCCGTGGGGGAAGCAAGAGTGAACACACAAGCACGAACAGACACAAGAGAGAAGAGAAACAAGCCTGCTGTGAGCGGCTGTATTGGGTGATTTCTGATGACAACAACGAACGAACGACGGAGAACAAGACGAGACACGCCACCACCACTGCCACGATGCAGCCATGCAAACGGGCGAAGGATGGTGGCAGGGAGGACGCTGTGATTGTCGTGGACGACGACGACGACGATGAGGACGGCGTTGGAAATGAGGGCAGCGAGGAGAAGGTCGAGGATGAGAGGCGCACTGGCACTGGAGATGATGGGCGGCTGTATGGCAGCGACGACGAAGCCGACTTCGTGAACCCAGCGACTGTGACAGTGCAACAACACCCACGGCAACTTGCGCGTCACAGGCGCTACTGTCAGCCACGGCTTGATGACAATAGCAGCAGCCAGCACCACGAACAACAACAACCACAGCAGCAGCAGGCAGGACAAGAGCAGCGACAGCACGGGCAACACGACGAGCCTGACAGCATCGTGGATGAATCACATCTATGCACGGTCACGGTCAAGTGCGACATGTGTGGCTACCATGTCCTCGCCACAGAGATTGACGTCCACTTGGAAGAGCACTCCCTCGAACTTGCAAAGGTCTGCCACTGTGTGTGTGTGTGTGTGTGTGTGTGTGTGTGTGTGTGTGTGTGTGTGTGTGTGTGTGTGTGTGCATGTTTGTCGGTATTCGTGTGTGTGTGTGTGTGCATGTTTGTCGGTATTCGTGTGTGTGTGTGTGCATGTTTGTCGGTATTCGTGCGTGTGTGTGTGTGCTTGTGTCTGTGCCTGTGTCTGTGCCTGTGTCTCTGTCTCTATCTCTGTCTCTGTCCCCCTCTCTCTGTCTCTGTCTCTGTCTCTGTACTTATTGGTATGGACCGCTATTCTTTGCTGCAATGGCTCATTCGGTCGCTCGCCCGTCTCACACAGCGGTTGATGGAGAAAGAGCAGAACAAGCGAGCGCCAGAAACAAGCAAGGACACGAGCGACCAACCAATGGGGAAAGCGGAGGCTGCAGCGTACCAGCGCATCTCCCAATACTTTAACAATGGAACGCGGTCCATCCTGCCGTCAAGGGCAGATGCAGCCGCTGCACGGCGGATGGGCCATCACACCGCAACCGCCGCCAGCAGCACCATGCCGCGCATCATCGCCTCCGTGTCGGCGGAGGAGCCACCACGGCCCTCCATCCACAGCACAGCGTCGCGCCGTGCACGCAAGCGCAGAGCATCGCCGCCACCCTCCACATCTACTTCAACAGCTGCAACAATTGATTTGAGCGCGTCTGCTTCATCATCAGCACCGTCATCATCATCGTCATCGTCAGCAGCGTCGACGTCGACAACACTGCCGCCGCCGCCGCCGCCAGCAATGGCAGCAACAACGATACCATCGTCATCATCATCATTGTCGTCATCATTGTCATCTTCGCGCAAGCGTGGGCACAGCAGCCACGATGCAGCAGTGCTGGTGAATGATGACAACGGAGATGGTGACGACGATCATGATGGTGATGATGACAATGATGACGATGATGACCTGTTCACAGCGATGATGCGCGCATCTGCCAAGAATGCGGGTAGGGGCGGCAGAAACGGCAGCAACAACAACAACAGTGGTAGCAGGAGTCGACACGAGCGTGGTGGCACCAGACCTCGCAGCAGGACACGACACAGGTCCACGACAACGACAAGAACAACACGAGCCTCCACATCATCGTCATCGTCATCGTCAGCATCATCCAAGACGAAAACTGCTGCTGCCGCGCCACCTCGCAGCAAGTTGCATCTCGCTGTGTCCAGCACGCTTCACCGTGGCTGTGTCAACATTTCCCACGTCCCCGTGTCATACTCGCGCCCACGTGCGCTGGTGGTCGAGGAGCACGCCGGCTACGATGGTGCGTGAGTGTGTATGTGTGTGTGCGTGAGTGCGTGAGTGAGTGCGTGTGTGTATGCGTGTGTGTGAGTGTGTGTATGTATGCGTGAGTTTGTGTGTGTGTGTGAGTGAGTGTGGCGCTGATTGCACAATGCGACCATCATCCAGCTCATATCTGACACGCCCCATCACACCCAATGTCATGTTTGTGATGACAATGATGTTGACAGGTGTGTGGTCTGCGATGCATGGCGCACTTCTCAACGCCGTTCGATTCAGCAAAATCCCATCGGAGTTCACGCTGTGCAGGTCAGGCCGGACACGCAGCCGCGTATCGCGTGGGGGGGGGGCGGTTACTCGTGTCATTTACAAACACAACACAAGTCCACACGCAATCACTCCCACGTTTTGATGCTGACCTTCATGGCATGTGCGTGTGTGTGTGTGTCCAGGTTTGCGCGCGTGTTTGGGCAGAGCGGGTACGAACGGCTGTGGTCGTGCGGATATCGCAACATGCAGACGATGACAGATGCGCTAATGGCCCGCGACCATTTTTCCCGTCGCCTCTATGGCGGCTGCGGCCAAATCCCAGCTCTCAGCGCCCTGCAGGTGTGTGTCTGTGTCTGTGTCTGTGTCTGTGTGTGTGTCTGTGTGTCTGTGTCTGTGTGTGTGGATAGGGGGGGATTGCTTTTGTTATTGTGTCCAACTGCTGCTGCTGCTGCTGCTGCTGCTGCTGCTGCGATGAAGTCGTTTGGTGTCGACTGAGCAAGTACTTCCCACATAACCGAAACACTTGCTCCTCGACTGCGTGTGCGTGTGTTAGCGGGAACTGGAGGCCGCCTGGTACAGCGGCTTTGATCCGGACGGCGCTGCGCAGGTGCTTGCAGTGCTAGAGGATGGGTATGCCACGTGCTGTGCCATGTTGCTGCTCATGCAGTCATGTTCTTGTTCGTGCTTGCATTCACAATTGCACACACGCACACATACACGCAAGCCATGCCTCACTCCCTCACTGCCTGAATCACGTTGGGCTTGATTGTGTGTGTGTGTGTGTGTGTGGTTGTGTGTGTGTGTGTGTGTGCGCGTGTGTGTGCAGTTTGGGTACAAAGTGAGCGGCACAGGAAAGTGGATTGGAACAACGGAAGTGTGCGCGCTGTTGCGATATTATGGCCTCGATGCACATGTGGTAAGATGGCCCGTAACTGCCACACACGCACGCACACGCACGCACACGCACACACACACACACATACACACACACACTCACTCACTCACACACACACTCTCTCTCATTCACACACACACACGCACCCTCTCCTTTCTTCTGTCATATGTCTGTTCCTGATCTGTCTCGTGGCCATGTGTGTGCGCTGCAGGCAACGTTTGTGCGGACGGGCGAAAGTGCGACCATTGACGCCTACGAAGGGCTTGTTGACTGGGTCTGGCACTACCTCCACTTCTCTCACACCAACACGCACAAGCGAGGTCTGTTGTGCTGCTGCCATATGTTTGAGTGTGTGTATGTGTGTGTTTGTGCTTGTGTGTGTATGTGTGTGTGCTTGCTATTCGCTGTTTTGTGTTATTACGACCGTTTCTCTTACCATGTTGCTGCTGTTGTGATGTGGTCTTGCTGTTTCTTGCTTCTCGCCCTTGTTCTCCGTGTCACAATATCCCAAACACAACCGCACACACCCTCTCAACCATTTGTGCGCACGTGTTTGCCTCCTGAGCAGAATTCGGTCGCGTGGAGGCTGGTGTGCATGTGAGCGAAATGCCCCCGCTGTATTTCCAACACGACGGCCATTCCCGCACGGTCGTTGGCATGGAGCGCAAGCAGATGAAGAACGGAAGCGTCAAGGTACACCACACGCGCATCTGAGTCTTTCATACACAAACACGACACTCGTACACCCATGGCGTGCAATGCATGATGCTTCGCACCAGCATGCGCACAGCGAGAGTCCTCTTTGCGCCTAACACTTACACACACGTCATCATCATCATCATCATTAGGTGAACCTGCTTGTGTTGGATCCGTTGACGCGGCCGCAAACCCTTCACAAGTCGCTGCTCACAGGCGGCTGGGAGAAGGTGTGTGTGTGTGTGTGTGTGTGTGTGTGTGTGTGTGTGTGTGTGTGTGTGTGTGTGTGTGCGTGCGTGCGTGTGTGTGTGTGGGTGTGTATATGTGTGTGTGTGTGTGTGTTTGTGTGTGTGTGTGTGTGTGTGTGCGTGCGTGCGTGTCTTTGGTGATGTACCTCATCTTGCTCACGCGCTTCCGGCCGCTGCATCCACACACGCACGCACGTGTGTCCCCAGTATGTGAAACGAGGCCTGCACACATTGCACAAGCCGTCGTACCAGCTGGTGTTTGTTCGGGGTGTCATGGACAAGTTGCAACGCGAGCGCAGCAAGAGCATGCGTGTGGACAGCGGCACAGCCTGAGCGAATGTGTGTGTGTGTGTATATATGTGTGTGTTTGTGGGTGTTCTTGTGTGCGTATCGTGCTCGTGCCCACCTTTACTCTAAGCACCCTTCTCTTTCCGTCCTTTCACGAGTTGACGTGAATGCAAAAGCATCTGATGAAATGTAATGTAATCCTGACAAAACCCTGAAGCTAGACCAAGAGGACGGAAATGGAGAAACACACACACACACATACAAGGCAAAACAAGAAGCCTTCACTTGCAAGCAAACGACCTTACTCAGAAGTTGTAACATCACCACTGGTGCTGCTGGAAAGTATCACAGCAGCTGCACACACAGGCACAGGTACACACACGCGCGCGCGCGCGCGAACATGCACACAGCAGGACGTTGTCGGGAAGAAGGCACATGTAACAAAGCGTAACAGCACACCATTAACGCAGACCAGACAAGCTGACATCAGCACACACACACACACACACACACACACACACACACACACACACACACACACACACACACACACACAACGGATACAACCTTGCATAGGCACTAGGTACGCCCTCTCTTGTGCGTGCGTGTGATGTGACAACACCGCGTCAGAAGCGAAAGAGAACGTCGTGCTATGCTGTCATCACGAAGTGGGAAACAAGGGAGGGAGGGAGCCACACGGGGAAATATCATCTCAACTACAAATCGCCGCCAGCGAGGACAAAGGTCACACACTGGCACGCTCGAGATGTTGGAGAACCCCAAAACCGGCACAGGCGAGCAGCCCTTGCACGATGTGCTTTCATCCGCACAGGAGGGTTTCTAATGGAATGATACGGAGTGGCTCCTCAAGGCGCCGATGTGAGTGCTGGGGAATGTGGTGGAGCTGGGGCCGTGGAGGCGAGCACGTGCGAGCGGCTCAGCTTGAGTTTGAGCTTGGATGGGATGGCAGATGCTGCCGCCCTTGCACGACGCGGGCTCAGGCGCACAGACTTTGGCTGCTGCTTGCCGTTGATCCTCGCTGGTGGCGTGGGCTGCTGCTCCTGCTCTTGCTGCTGCAGGCGTGGTGCTTGGCCCGAGAGCTGCAAGAGGGCGGCGGATGCCTCGACCAATTGCAGCTGCTCGTGGCTCATGCCCGCCTCATTAGACTGCTCGGCCTTGCCGCTCACGTACACTGCGTCCAGTGACAACGATGACGATGACGATGACGATGCCGGGGTGATCGACTCGGGTGGCGAATCGATGCCTTCGTCACTGTTGCGGCGTTTCTCCCGGTTGAAGTCGGCAGGCATTTCCTCGCTGATAACCACATCAGCGCCTTCTTGCTGCTGGTGTACGGCTTGCCGTTCCTTGTTGACGTCTGCCTCTTCCTGTTGCTGCTGTTCTGCAGTGTCTTTGGGCCTCCTGTCCTTGTCGCGCTTTGCCTTGTGTTTGCCATGCTTCTTCTTCTTGCTCTTCTTCTTTCTGCTCTTGCTCTTCTTGTGCGTGTCACTGCTGTCTGCGTTGTTCTGCGGCGGTTGCTGTTCGCTGGAGTGCTGGTCGGCCTTTGGACCGACAGGTGGCGTGAAGCAGTAGATGGCAGCGTCCACGGCCGGCAGAACGACGCGGGAGATGAGGACTGCCGACGGAAAGAGCCGCTTGAAGGCGCGGAGCTGGGCGTCGAGCGAGGGCATGCCGTTGATGAGCTCGCAAAGGAGGCACTGGAATTGTAGCAACGCCATGGTAGACGGGTTTAGGCCCGCAACGTTGCCGACGGTGTAGGCGGCGCTCAGCGTGAAGAGATGGGGGTCCAGGATGCATGCGTGGAGCGCACGCAGTGTGGCTGGTGTGTCTGTAACGTCCACAACAAACGCAAGGGCGCTGTCCGGGCTGGGAGCTTGGCTGCTGCCGCTGTTTCCTGCGCTTGTTAACCTGGGCGGCTGTTGGAGAAACGGCTGCTGTGGTTGAAGTTGCTGGTGCTGGCGGAGGGCAGGGTGGGTGCTGGGCGTTGACTGTGGCTGCACCATGGTGCTGTTGACCATTGCTTGCTTGCAGGCAAAGGAAGAAAGCTCTGTTGTGATGTTGTGGGGGAGGGGTTGTTTGGTTCTTGATGCCTTTGCGTCCTGGTGGGTGCTGGCTGTGTCCTCCTGAGCTTGATGGCCTGTCTTGTGTCGTGCGCTTGCGTGTCTGTCTTCCTGGGTTCTGATTGGTTGGTGTAGCAGCGGCCGCTTGATGGCGAGGGGCGAGGGGCGAGGGGCGAGGGCTGTTGCACGGGCGTGTGTGTGTGGTTAAATGGTGCTTCTACGACTGCTGCTGCGGCTTGATTGGGCTTCTGATGACGAGCGCGCTGCTGCGTGCGAAGAAAGAACAAGGCGGGAAACCACGTGATGGAAGGCGCGAGAGGGGTTGCGTGTGTGTTCATGAGCGTGAGCGTGAGACATACATATGATATGGGTTGGGGGGGGAAGAGAGAAAGAGCGAGATGGCGTGTGGGGGTGGGAATGAATGATTGATTGAGACGCGCGATCGCATGTGCACAAAGGCGGGAAAAGGCGACAAAAACAGGTGGCTTTGTGTGGTAGTGGCGGTGGTGGTGTGTTGTGCGCGTTGTGGTGGCTTGCGCACGCAAGCAGGCGTGTAGCTGAGGTGCTTACAAGCACACAAAGCATGCATGACCCAGGGCGCAGGGCAAAACGCGCACGGCGCAAAACACGACAGAAGCAAGCCAAAGGTTTGGCGTGTGTTGTGTCTGCGTATTGACACACAAGCTACATGCCAGGTGATGTTGTGACTGGGTCATGTGACATTGACGTGATGCAGGCAAGGCCTGTACCTGTGCGGAAGCGCGATGGATGTGCTGAGGTCCTGTGATTGCGGTTGGTTGGGGGGGGGGTTGGTTTTGGCTGCGTGGGTGAGGGGGAAAAACTGCGGTCGGCACGCTGCTCTTGAGGAAGGTGGGGTCGTCGAGCAGAGCAGAGCAGACAGGTCGCGCGCGCTGACGCCAAAACAGGAGGAGCAAAAGTGGAGGAGGCAGGGGTTGCGTATCGCTGAAGCAGCAACAGCGGTAACAGCGGTAACAGCGGCGGCGCAAAGGTTGTGGGGGTCGATCGGGTTGGTTGGTGTTGGTTGGTGGTGGTTGGTGGGGTTGGTCACGCGGAGGTACGAAACCCCAAGGCTGGGCAACGTGTGTGTGTGTGTGTGTCGGTGTGTGTGAAGGAGATGCAGCTTGTGGCGGGGGGGGGGGTGAGCTGGTGTATGTGTATATCCGACGCTGGCAGCCAGGGGGATGGATTGGGGATCAGCCAAAGCAACCAGAGCGATGCACCCTCAGTGTGGGTTGTTGGCTTGGATGATGGAATGGATTGAATGGCTGCTGGCCTTTTGCTTGCGCACGGAGGAAGGAAGAATGAATGAAGAATCAGAGACAAAAAAAAAGAAGGGGAAGCACAACAAAAAGGCGCAAGAAAGTGCTGGTTGCGCCGGGGAAGTGTGGAATGTTGTTGGTGGAAGAGAACCACAAGGTCAAAACAGAGCAAGCGAGCAAGCACGCGTCGTTTGAAAAAGCGGGCGGTTGTTGGTGGTTGTGTTGTGTGACTGCCTGGCTGGTGGTGGACAGATGGGTTGACGCGCTGTCAACGCACACAACACACACTCACTGGCGATGCGTTGTTGGTTGGTCACGGCCCAAAACCGAAACCCCTGCTTGCTTGCAAGCAGCCTGTGCCTTGTCAAGCCTTTGGGCTGGGAAGTGATGAAAGCAAAGCAAGATTGTGCGTAAGAACGGTGCACGTTTCAATACGCGTTTCGATTTTGCGGCTGGTTGGGTCCGACGGTATGACGTCACCGCCTGCGGTCAAAATTTGGCCAAAACGGACGGTGGCGAACGCGTAAGCGCGATACACAGGGTCAAGCCAGGGGTTCGAATGCATCGACACGCCACTACTTTTAGAATTTTTGTCAGCACCTCACCGTTGTATTGCTCGTTCACAAAAGCGTTGCTCGTGCGTTCCTGCAACGCACCCAAAACCCAGAACTTTAGGCACGAAGCGACTCAAGACAACACGCGACATCGCAGGACACGTGGCAAAGAAGTGGTGGCGGCGTCGGAGCGCGTTCTTGAGGGGTCAAAACTGTCAACGAAACAAACGACGACGACTTGTTTCAAAAAGGCGAAGCCTCAAAGGAGGAACAGAAGGAGGAACACGGAGGAACATGGAGGAACTGAAAGTGCTGTGGCCGCCTTGTTGGCCTTACAGTGGCGGCTGTGGGGAGGTTGGTGACGACGAACCGGGGTTGTCTTTGTTCGGCCGTGGTGTGAGTTGACAGAAAGAAAGCAAAAGAAAAAAGGAAAACATGCACGTGGTGTGTGGGCTGGTTGGATTGGTTGCTCGGTTTGTGTTTGTGTCAGGTCAGGTTCAGTCTGTCACATGATCACGAACGTTGTATGGGACTTGAGGACTTATGGACAAGCGAGCAAGGAAGACGCCACCAAGGAAACAGGAAAGAAGGTTCTTCGTCAAGCAAGGAAGAACGAAAACGGAAGAAGGCTGAAGAAAAACACAAACAAACAAACAAACACCCAAACAAAGCAACTACAGAAGCAAGCAAAGCACCCAAGCAAAGCACGACCAAGAGAGCGCTTCGAGAATAATTTGTAACTGTAACGTCTGAGGTGCAGAAGGACGAAGAAGGCGGTGGAAGCAGGCCGTGTTGCACGCCTGAAACGATCAATACGCATGCACAATGCTTGGATGCATATGGAAGGCGGTGGAAAAGATGCCAACAAAGCAATGCGTGCTGTGTTGGTGTGAGTGCTATGGAACTGGGTGGTGTGCATGATCACGAACAAACAAGGAGAGTCGCTGGCTGCGGATGGTGTTGGGGGAGCAATGGAGCAATACAACAATACGCGTGTCGGGGTATGTACATGAAGAACCACAAGAGCAATCGATGGTGACATGGAAGGTGGTGGAATACATGCCGACGAAGCAAGGGGACCAATACGCACGTGCATGCAACGGTGGAGGGAAAAAACGATGCCATGTGATGAAGCGACAAAAAGATAACATACGTGCGCATGAAGGTGAGAAGTTGAGATGGGGGGGGGGAAGGAGTGTTTGGTGCCCATGGGTGTGATTACAGGAATCGCCTGGACCACAGCTGGGTGTATCTGCATGTGAGAGACGTGTGTGTGTGTGTGTGTGTGTGTGTGTGTGTGTGTGTGTGTGTGTGTGTGTAGGTGTGTGTGTGTGTGTGTAGGTGTGTGTGTAAGTGTGTGTGTAGGTGGTGGCTGAACGTGAGAAGAAATAAATACACGCGCACGCACACAAGCAAGAAAGGCCAAACTAACACATACACACAAACAGACAGACACACACACACACGCACACACACACACACACACACACACACGCATAGAAGAACACGCGCGCTACTGACCTTTGCAGTGTGTCGAAAGCGGTGATGTGGTGTCCATTCGACATTTCAAACGTGTACATGCCTACAAGGGAGACATTTGGGGTAGGGGAGGAAGTGGGAGGTGAACAACGCTGAACAACAAAGCACAACGATGAACAACAAAGCACAATGAAGCGTCATGAAGCGAACCTCCTCAAGACAGACCAGCAAGCAGACGCCCAACACACACACACACACACGTAACACACACACACACCTGCATATTGTGGGTTCATGCGCTCGCCAATTTCAAGGCTGAGGGTGTTGTTGTCAAGGCCATAGCGGAGAATGTGGTTGAGCGGCCACTCTGCAACCCGCTCGTGTGTGTCGCGCGAGAACAGACACGCAGCCGGCGGCGTGATCACCAGCCAATACGGCCCAGCAGCAACTGCAATGTGTGGTGAATGTGTGTGTGCGAATGAGTGAAAGTGTGTGTGCGTGTGTGTGTGCGTGTGTGTGTGTGTGTGCGTGTATGTGTGTGTGTGTGTATTTGGAGTAGTCTTGGACAACGGCGGCAAGAGGAAAGCGCGCATTCAAGTGGACGGCGGTGCCAACACATGGACGTACTTGGAATTGTATCTTCAGGGACGAGGTTGCAGGGGAAGGAGATGGCATCCGGTAATCTGCTCAACGTGAGAACATGGCAGCATGACGTGTGAGTGTCACAGCGCTTGCATCACACATGCGCATGTATAAGTTTGTGTGTGAGTGTGTGTGTGTGTGTGAGAGAGAGAGAGAGTGTGTGTGTGTGTGTGTGCGGTATCAAGGTGCGTGCGGGTGTTCTCACCTGTGCACTGGTACCGTCCATGCTCGACCGAACCACCCGCGAAGTGATACCTATCGCGCACACACAGAGGACAGAATTGAGTACTGCGGATCCAAGCAAAACCCACACACACACACACACACACACACACACACACACACACACACACACACACACACACACACACACACAAAACACGCACACGCACGATACACGCACGATACACACGTAAACACACACATAGACACACACACACAAAACACGCACACGCACGATACACACACGTAAACGAACCTTGAAGGGCTTGGAGAGCATGCTCATGGGTGTGGCGTATGTGCTCTGCAGGATGCGGCCCGCCGCTGCAGACGACGATGACGATGATGACCCCGCCATCGTCATCGCGGCTGCTGTGGACGGTGGCGGTGCAGATGTGCGACGCGTGCGCACGTTTGGAGCAAGCAGGATCTGCGAGCGCGCCTGCCCACCGCGCATCACAAACGGCGGCTGGCCAGGCATTGTTGGATGATAAAACTCTGTCGAGTGTGTGGGCGTGCGTGAGAGTGTGTGAATAAGACAGAGGAGAAAACACACAGATGCAGACGCACACAGATAGAGAGTGTGTGTTTCATTGGCAGGCGCACGGGCTCGTGTGTGTGTGTGTGTGTGTGTGTGTGTGTGTGTGTGTGTGTGTGTGTGTGTGTGTGTGTGTGTGTGTGTGTCGCCATTGTCCCCAAATTCTAAATTCAATCCCGTATCATCCTTACCTGAGTTGCCGGGTCGGGCTGGGGAGCGCAGCATGGACGGCGCAGATGTCGCAGCCTGAACACCACCAATGCCAACAACAAAACAGAACGGGGGCGAGAGGGGGTGTTGAAGATGATGATCAGCACCAGCGTATTGAGAACGGCAGCCGAAAGCGGCGGCATACACACACACACACACGCACACACAAATGCATCACGAACGTGGTCTGAAGGCCGCTGTGGCGAGGGCGCTTGTGCTTGTGTTTCGCCAACACCGACGTGTTGGTCTTCTGCCGCTGTGTGAGGGACGTCATCAGCGTCAGCGCGTGCGTCTGTCACTTCCTCCTGCCCCTCCTGCCCCACCTCGCGTTCTTCACCCGCAACGTCTCGTGTCACCCCATCCACATTTGTCGTCGTTGTCGTCGGCGTTGCCTGCGGCTGCTGCTGCGGCTGTACATCACCGTTTCCTGCCAAAATGCCTGCATCAACTGCGCCGTCAGCCGAGTGCCCCTCCTCAGCAAGTGCCGTATCCTTCTCCTCCAGTGCATTGCCATCATCGCCACCACTGCCGCTATTGCTGTTGCTGTTGCTGTTGCTGTTGTTGCCTGGATACTTTGGCGGCGCCCGTGACGGCGCAAGCACCTCCCCGCTGCACGTGTGTGTGTGTGTGTGTGTGTGTGTGTGTGTGTGTGTGTGTGTGTGTGTGTGTGTGTGTGTGTGTGTGTGTGTGTGTGTGTGAGCGGTTTCTGGATCGTGGCATCATCAAGCAGCTCCTACATTGAACAGCTGCACAACACGTACCTCCAAACGCTCCTCTGCAGCAAACGCATGTCACTATTACCACCACACCACACATCACCACCACCACCGCAATGAACAGCAAACGTGGCATGGCATGCAGCACATGGTGTCGGCACCTGCTGTGTCGCGGTGGGAGTGGCGGTCCGGGAAACCGAATCTGAACACTCGACACGGACCCCGTCTGGCTCACATTCTTGCTCCCACCCACAGCACCGCTCGCCTGTGTGTGTGGGTGTGGGTGTGTGTGTGTGTGTGTGTGTGTGTGTGTGTGTGTGTGTGTGTGTGTGTGTGTGGGTGTGTGTGTGTGTGTGTGTGTGTGTGTGTGTGTGTGTGAGGACAGCACAGTATCAACGCAGCACGAACACACACACGAACTCGCACACACACACACAAACACATGGTACGCCAGACAGCAGCGGACCTCTGTGTTGGTGCTGGCCTTTGATGTGGGCGAATCTCCACTGCTCCCCTGTAGCGGTGTCGTCAGGATGGATGCACCAGGCACGTGAGCTTGCACCAGTCAAAGAAACAAAGGACACTTGATAGCCCAACGAAAGCAGCAAAATGATTGGGTACACAACAGAACTACCACACACACACACACCGACACACACACCGACACACACACACACACACACACACACACACACACACACACACACACACACACACACACACACACACACACACACACAGAGTGCGCGCGTACCGGCGCTGGGGGTTTGCTGTCTGGCCCTGGGGAGAGGGCGAGCTTGTTGATGGAGTCAAGCACCTCCTGGAAAATGCTGTCATTCTGGATCACTGGTGTCGTGCATCCATGGATGGATGGCATGGGGGCACGCGGCAGGACGCAAGGAACGCGAGGAAGCAAGCGAGAGACGGGAAGTAATGAGCACCGTGCAAAGTACACAGCGTTTCTGCACACAACAAACACGCAGAACGACACAAAACCACTCACACACATACACAAGGCAGCAAGCGCCCTTGCATTCACCCACCCTTCCCTGCCCCCACAGCCCCGTATCTCTATGTGCACCTGAGATTGGGCGCTCCTCGTGGTCGCGCGACTTCTGGGGCGCGAGGAGGTGGAGATACAAATATGGATTGCACAGAAACTCGCGTGTCTCCACGGCATTGCGCAACTGCGCCAGATACGTCATCACGCTGGGAGAGCAAAGGTTTGCGTGTGGTTGGGAGGGGGGATAGGGAGGGAGTTGGTGGTCGTGAGTGATTGCAAGACGCAACAAGAGACGCACATGCACACATACACACACACACACAGCACATCGCACCTGAGGTTGTCGCAGTTGTGGTTGCAGAGATCTGCTGGGGCAAGGATGTCTGGAACACCGAGCTGTTCGGCAGCAATGTCCATGGCCAACGTCACGGCGCGCACGGGATGCTGGTGGAGATGGACAGGAGGCCGCGGGCGGGAACGGGGACAACGGGTGAGCAGGCGCAGGGGAGCAGGGCGAGTCGTACAAGGCGGCACAAGACGACACACTGAACACATGCACGCGCAATATGCAACGCAAAGTATACAACGCAGAATGCACACAGAAATCACACACACATACACACACACAATCACACACACACACAATCACACACAATCACACACACACACACCTGCACTGGCGGTGCGTGCGAGTCCATGCCTGTGATGCGAGCAATGAGGGCAAACAGCGCCCTGCCGTCCCGCCACGCCTGCGTCAAGTCCATCACTGCCTTGAGCTCCTCCACATCCTCAAACGAGCGCACCCACGACAGAATGACGTCCGATGGCGGCGGCAGCGGCCGCTGTCGCTCCTTCGCCTTCTTGCCCAACAGCGGCACGTGGAGGATGTCAAAGTGGGAGATGAGCCGGTAGAGCAGGCTCAGTGTTCCGTCCAGCCGCCCCTGGTAGATATCATCCACACGGATACCGGCCGCCTCCGCTGACGCGTACCCTTCGTTCCCAAACACCCCTTGCTCCTCGCACAGGCCAATCATATGCCTGATGTTCTCCACGCACTCCTTCGTGTGTGTGCAATTTGCGGGTGAGGGTTGAGTGTGTGTGTTGGTGTGTGTGTGTGTGTTGGTGTGTGTGTTTATGTGTGTGTG